GGGCGATGGCGCGGTGCCGGCCTGGGCACGAGGGACGTCTCCAGGCCGCCGCCGTTCAACCCACCGGTCTCGGCCCGCGCGCCATCGCTGACAGAAATGGCGGCTCCCTCAGGCCTCCGGCTCCTGAGGGCCGAGTTTCCCTTTCGTTGCAGCGCCCTGGCGGGTGGGGGAGAGGAGCGACCCCCCGCCCCAGCCTGCAGGGTGGCTGCGGAGCAGGCTGAGCCCCAGCGAAGCCCCACAAACCCGGTGGCTGTGCAGTCACAGAGGTGCTCACTGTGGCAAAGCCTGCGTCCAGATGGCACAGCAGCTGGAGAGGATGGCGCGGTGTGAGGTGATTGTGAAGAGATGTGCGGTTAAACCAGGCGTTTTTTTCAGGGAGGTCAGGCTGGATGGCCGGAGTTTATTCTTCACAGCCCTATGACAAGGAACAGTGAGTAGATCTCGCCCCTTCCCTGCTGTGTTACCAAAGGAGCATTTGTCCGCTGGATAGTCACACCAACAAATAACAAAACAGACGCAAAGGATTGCCATCCCACAGGCTGATGGGGAAAAGAGGAGCTGACTCACTTGTTAGTCGCAAAAATATATGGTTGATTAACTGTTATTACCCATCTTTTGTTTTTGGCGGGGGGGGTGGGTGTTCAGATTGGTGCCGTGCTCACCTTAATGAAATGTGCTTTGCTTTATAGCAGACTAAGGACTTCTGCTAAGCAATCCTGTCTGCAAAAAGCACCAAAAGAAGCATTTAGTTTGCTGAGATTCCTGGGTTGAGGCTCAAGCTGCTCTTTTTGTTAATTTTAGAAGAAACCCTGAACTGTATGAACGCAGCCATGATCACAGCTGCCAAGTTCCGACAAAAGGACTACATAGGCAAAATCTGAATTTTAGAATTTCATTTTTGGCATGGAAAGTAAATTTGTAACTATGAACTAAAAACTAAAGAGCCCTTTTGCTGTTGGAATATGTTGTCTTCTTAAGTTTTAATAATCTTCATACGGTGCCCTATGAAACTGCCAGCTATGTTTTCTCATTTGTGTTAAAACTGCTATCCCATTCTAAACAAACCTTATGATATGCATTTTCTTTCCCTTTTGCCTGTGAAACTCCAAATCCATAGGGGTAAACTATAAACCCCTGACACCTGTTAAATATGACCAATTACTAGCAATAAATTCCTGTCAAAACATTTTGAGCAGCAGAGTAACAAGGAAAAGATTGTCTCAGTAGTCTCAATCAACTAATTAATTTACCCTGCAGTATAATGGGGTTTGGCTAGCTACAGAAACTCTGTCGAACTTTGGTTGGTATATGTTTCAAATGTCCACAAAAGAATTGAAGTATTTTGATGAAAAAGTTGAGCTCTCTAGGGAAGGAAGAAAGAGACTTGTAGATTTAATGACCCCCTTTCTCTTTTCTCCAAGTTCCATGTAACTAAAGGCATCTTTTATTTTCTTCATTTAAGAAAAGCCATCCCAGAATAGGCACTAAGTTCACTTATCACTGGTTTAGGATTATGCAAGTGATGACACTATTTCATCTTGCTGTGGCATGACGCAAATGGAACTTGTAAGATGAGATCCTTGGCCAGAGTAAACGCAGAACACAGATGCTTTTGTAGCTGTGTAGCAAGAGTGTGAGGCTAACAGGATATATTCAGCCAATAAATATTTGAAACAATTTTGCAACACTTTTTGTAATTACAGTATCTTGCTTCGTGGTTCAGAGGTGGAGTTCCAGTAAAACTAGACACGGCTGGAATCATGAACCTGACGTGCTTGTGTAGCTGCCATTAAACTCATAATGCAATGAAGATAATGCAATTCCTGACAAATTTAGCCATTGTATTCTGGGTACTCTGAGATTCTTAGTAACTACTAAGTTTGGTTTCAAACATAACAAAGTTACATTCCAGTTCTCTCTATAGAGTTGACAAACAGATAAGCATCTGAGCACAAGAGGAGGGAGTTTTCAAGTGTTACACGTGTTTTGGAATGAACACAGGCATGTCTTAAATACAAAAGTCAATGCTTACAAGGTGCTTCATTGCACATATATGTGTAGCAATGCCTTTCGCTATATTTTTTAATTCTTGGAGTGCCACATGTGTAGCTGATAAAAAAATAAAGCAATAGCATTTGATCTATACAGAATACAATGATGGCAAACCAGCAAAACCAAGATAGCATACTACAGTAGGAGTTCCCATGCACAGAAAAAGGAGCATATTCATTTTAGAATAATATTTAATATACCCTTAGCCTAAGGCAGACATAAAAAATTATCTGAATTTAACAGAAAATAAATTACAGCCTCATAATTATATTGTTATTGACAGGGGTAAACCTCTCTAAAGCTAGTGATTGTAAAAAACGATGTTTTATTTGGGTTCAAACTATAATACAAGCATGTTTTGAAACCTAAAATAAACACATGGAATTTAAAATAACACTGTTAGACACCTGGGAGAAGTTGTCCTCGCATATTGCCCAGTAGAGATGTGCCTGAATGGCCATGACTAAGAAGCAGAAGAAAAGTGCTAGAGGAATAGAGGAAAAACGCATTAAACTATGAACACAAATTAGGATTAATAAAGCAACTCTGGAAAAAAGCTGGGTTGGTCTAGTTTACAGTTAGGCACCTGCCTCAGCTGCAGTGGAAACACAAAGACTTGCAGGTCATTAGGTGCCTGCTCTGTTTGCACAACAGTGAAAGCTTCTTAATCATTACCTCTACATCTGTTATACAAAACTCTATATGCATATTCATACTCAACATCAATTTGGTTGTCATTTTCTGAAAGCTACAGTATGTTGGCTACAAAATACTGTTCATTTGTTACACCTGAGCTGAAGTGTAACCTCATCGCTTGTAAATTGGCCCTAAAACACAGGACTAATAAATATTGAGACTCGCTAAAGACCTTTTTCAGTAAAATGTTTTGTGGGACATGATACACGAACATTGCCCCAGAGTAATTCCAGTAATGTACGCCATATAATAGGTCTTGATTCATTTCAGTATGTATTAGAAATGGCAGGTACAGTCATGTCTGATTACAGGATCTAAGCACCTATAACTGTTGAAATCAGCTACTGTTGCAGGTCTTTACTGTAGGAAAGAAATTACACATATAGCTGTGCAGCCTAAAAGAAGAGGAAACTCTGTGGCTATTTTATAACCTTCTTGCTGCTGAGAAGTGAAAATCCTAAAGCTTGAACACCTGATAATTGTCAGCCATTCGTTTCTACTAAAAGATAGGCCAGACCAAGTGTAAAATAGAAATAAGTACATCCAAGAATCAGCCAGGACACAGAAAACTGTTACATAATTTCTTGTACATAGTGAGGACAGTTTAATGTTTTACTCAGAAGTATGTTGACTGTTTCCTGCTGTGACTTTTGATGTCTTCTCATTTACCCTTAACTCCTGCTCCCATTAGCGTGAGAACCATGCCCTGCAGTGTAATTCTTATGTGGTTTTCCATGCTCTAAATGTTTTTATTACTGTTACATTTTTGTAATCGCACTGTGCTTCTGTTACTCCAGGTCTCTGTTTCTTGGGGAATTTTTAAGCAATTAACGGTCTTTGTGATTTTCTAATGAACAAACAAACCATATTTATCACACTTGGTAATAGTTTCTCCTCCTGTCATGTGCTGTATGGGTGTTTCTTTTAAATACACACACTGGAAAGGCTTTGCCTTTGGTGGACGTGGTGAACCTCAGGATCCTGGCAACCCTGTAGCGTT